ACCATCTGCACTCAGTACTTTTTTTTTTATTTTTATTTATTTTTTTATTTGTGAGGGAGATCGGCCCTGAGCTAACATCTGCCAATCCTCCTCTTTTTGCTGAGCAAGACTGGCCCTGGGCTAACATCCGTGCCCATCTTCCTCTACTTTATATGGGACGCCACCACAGCATGGCTTGCCAACCAGTGTGTCGGTGTGCGCCCGGGATCCGAACTGTCGAACCCCGGGCCACTGCAGCGGGGAGCGTGCACTTAACCGCTTGCGCCATCGGGCCGGACCCTGTACTCGGTGCTTCTAGTTCGAGGTTACTCACACAAAAACTGACACAGTTAACATTTATTCAGGGCTCAGCCATCCAATGATATAGATACTATTTTTATCTCTTTCTCCCTCCATATGAGGAAACTGAGTCATAGAGAGTTTAGTATCTTCCCTAAGATGTCATAGCTAATAAGTGACAGAGTGGGATTTGAATCCTGACATTGGTGCCTGTACTCTTAACTGTAACTGCACTATAATAGTAGGCTAAGGAAATTTAGAATTACAGATACTAAGTAACTCACCCAAGATCAAACTGTAGTGCTGAGACTGGAACCCAGGGCTTTCCAAAGCCAGCACTCTTATATTGGACATACTGCTTCTCTTGCTTTAAATGTCAGTACTCAAGCTCATACTGGGTGATGATAAATTTTAAAAGCTGTAGATCCAGTTTATTGAGAATGGAGAATTTAGATCCCTTCCAAAAGAGGCATAATTGTAGCTTACTAGGTTAATTTATTTTAAATATCAACAGCCTAGTAGTCTTACCAACCAATGAAGTTTATAGTCTCTAGTGTTTTCCCTGTGACACTGAAGATTGTGTTTGTTCACTGTGAAAGCCATGTTTCCTAAGGCTGGCCTCTAAGTCAAAATCCACTCTCATTCAGGAATTTACTCTCCCCTTTATTACTCAAAACCAGTGATGTGATGTTCCCAAGTTCTCTGCTTTTGTGGCTCCTCAGTTCCCCAGTGTGGAATGTCTTGTCTCTGAAAGTAACCTGTGATCTACAAGCCTTCTTGGCTGTTTTATTATTTACCTTTAAAAAAATCCTATTCTTGGGGCCGCCCGGTGGCGCAAGCGATTAAGTGCGCGTGCTCCGCTGCGGCGGCCCGGGGTTCGCCGGTTTGGATTCTGGGCGTGCACTGATGCACCGCTTGTCAAGCCATGCTGTGGCGGCGTCCCATATAAAGTGGAGGAAGATGGGCATGGATGTTAGCCCAGGACCAGTCTTCCTCAGCAAAAAGAGGAGGATTGGCAGATGTTAGCTCAGGGCCGATCTTCCTCACACACAAAAAAAATCCTATTCTCTGTGGATTCATTAGACTCTTTTTCCTTACACGGTATTCTGCTTTTTCCCATTTCAAATATTTATTAAACACTTAACTGTGTACCCAAATGGAAATAATCTAACTCATTGAAGGCCATACAAAGAAATGGGCTTGGGGTTCAGATATTTTGACTGGAATATTATTTCCTTAACAACCTTCATAAAATCATCCTCTGCTCAGTTTGCAATTCTACACCCAAATATCTTTCAGCACAATCTTAGTGGCTCCTTCTACAGCACATTATATAGAAAGAATAGCTGGAGCCAATTCATTAAATGTTACTCCAAGGATTTTTACCAACACCTTGGCCCTCTTTTGCTGACACAAAAGATTTTTCAGCCTTTTAACAGTCTTATGGCTTCCTTATTAGAGCTCTTTCACTAACATACCCTGTTATCAAAACAAACTACCCATCCTTCTTGGGAAATGCTCTGGAAAGCTATTCCCTGAGTTAATGGTATGGCTTTGTCTCTCTGGGTTAGTACTGATTTAACATGAAACCAAGAGTCAAACATCCCTGAAATATTCAGTAAAATATGAGTATTATATTTCACAATGTTGTCTTCAGGGATATAAACAATCCAAAAGGAGTATTTTGAGTAGTGCTGTATCATATTATTATTGCAGTAATATTTCCAGAAGAAATCTCAAGTTTGGATTAACTACAGGCCATAAAATATGGCCATATTGCACCAATACATGAAGCAAAGTTCAAATCTGGATCATAAGAAAAAGACCAAGGGCTGGCCCCATGGCTTAGCGGTTAAGTGCACGCGCTCTGCTACTGGCGGCCCGGGTTCGGATCCCAGGCGCGCACCGACGCACTGCTTCTCCGGCCATGCTGAGGCCGCGTCCCACATACAGCAACTAGAAAGATGTGCAACTATGACATGCAACTATCTACTGGGGCTTTGGGGAAAAAAAAAAAAGGAGGAGGATTGGCAATAGATGTTAGCTCAGAGCCGGTCTTCCTCAGCAAAAAGAGGAGGATTAGCATGGATGTTAGCTCAGGGCTGATCTTCCTCACAAAAAAAAAAAAGAAAGAAAGAAAAAGACCAAAATATCATCAATGATGACGACAGGCACATCTCTGAACTAAATCTGAATTCCTTGAGGAAGGAAGGTACTGAACCTACTATTACAATAGAATATTCCTATGAAGAACTGAGAAACCAGTCCTTCATTCTTGAAAAAAATCAAATCACACTGATAAACATCTTAGTTACAGGAGAGGAAAAACAGAGATGACTAAGCTGAAAGAAATCTCCTCTGGCCTGTCTTATATCTTTTCTAGGCAGTGCTGTTCCTGATAAGACACATGGCACAAAATATGGTTTTGTTGTATATCAAGGTGTGTAAGTTAGGGAAGATAGCAATTTTTTAAACAGAAAAATTAGGTGATAACAGCAACAGGTAAGGAAGCTTTGAGCTTCTGAGGGAGAAATACTGGCACCCCTACATGGGCACAGTAGATAATCTGAAAATGGTACAAGTGCCGGCCTGTGTATAGCCTGTCTCTATCAAAATCAGAGGGACAAGTATTATAATCCAGCAGAAGCAGCCCTTCAGAATCTAAGGAGGAGCATTTCATCAGACAATTGAGCACTCACTGCATACAAAAAAAGGGATCAATCCAAAAGAACTCCCTGCCACTCTGAAATTAAAAACTGCACTCTCATTTTCTCCAGCCTATATATTTTATGTAACGAAACAAAATACACATCATATCTCTTACAGCAGTGTAAGACTATTTAGGACCTGCAAGGAAAACTGAGCAAAGAATCCTTCCCCTTCAGCCTTTTGCCTATAGAAATATCCTACTGGTTCCCTGAAAACAGTGTAAACTTTCTTTGGCAAGTGAAACACCACCCCATTACTCTTTCTCTCTCATCCTGTTTCACTTTTTTTCATAACACTTAAGACCACCTGACTTTTTTTTGGTGAGGAAGATTGGCCCTGAGCTAACGTCTGTTGCCAATCTTCCTTTTTGCTTGAGGAAGACTGTCCGTGAGCTAACATCTGTGCCAATCCTCCTCTATTTTGTATATGGGACGCCACCACAGCATGGCTTGATGAGTGGTGAGTAGGTCCACACCCAGGATCTGAACCTACTACCCCAGGCCACGCCCCCAAGCAGAGCTCATGAACTTAACCACTACACCACCGGGCCAGCCCAGGACCACTTGACATTTTACATATATATAATATCTTTCCCAACTAGAATATAAGCTCCATGAGGGCAGAGATTTCAAATATTTTGTTTACAGATGTATTCTCAGTGTCTACAACTATATCTAGCATGTAGTAGGTTCTCAAAAAGTTTGTAAAATTAAAAAAAAGTGTTAAAAAGACCCCTGAATATTATGTTAGAATTGTAAAATTCTAAAATTTTGGCATATCTATAGATATGTGTGTGTGTGAGTCAATTTACAGACTCCGTGGCATAATTCCAAGTGTAGACCACGTCAGGAGTCAGAGGATCAGGAGCTTGTGTGGGGAGATAAGAGAGTGACTGCAAAAACAAAGCACCATGTCTTATTAAATGGACTGAAGGAATCAAATACTGTTAGCAAACTTCTCTAAAGAGTCAGCTAAATTTCTCTGTCCTTTCCATGTCTGATATCCGATTGTAGTGAATTCAAATTCACTTCAGATTAGATAGACTGACATTAGCTTTCTTCCTTGATAAAACTTCTGAAACTTACTTAGTAAAGTTTGCTTTTCTCCTCCCTAAATTACTGCCTGCAAGATGCAAGCCCTCCGATCGAAACAGTCTCCCATTTCTATTTTGAGATGTGCCTGAGTCACAAGGTAGTCTTGGCGAATCACTCTGTTCTATCTTTCAGTTTACTGAGGCTGCCTGGGAACTTGAACTGTCAGCCAAACAGGAAGAGGGCCCTTCTGCCTAACTCCAAAAGGCCTAAGTCATATGGATGTGGTGAGGTTTAATGATGGATACAAATCACTGCAAATAGATTTCCCACCGGGTGGGGGAAAAAAAGCAAATATTTTACTTAACTTCCTCTATATGAATTCAAGGCTAGTAGAAAGGACAGATTATTAAATATAGCTGAGCAAATGTCCCAGTGTTTGCACAACATGTGTTTTTAACTAAAGAGACCCCTTCTGTATTCTTACTATATATACAAATATAAGCAAAAGAATGTGACCGATCTGACCCTGGCAAAGTTACACTGTTAAAAAAAAAAAGTCAGTGTTCATAAGCATGTATAAACCACAAAGGCCTTTTTTCAAGAATGGGTATAGTTACATCCACCTGGATACTCTTATTTGTGCCTCCTATGTGGTCTTGAGTTCCTCCTGGTTTTTTAGCTAGCACATCCTCCATAAATTGTTCTGCTTTAGTGACTATAATTCCAAGACTCCCTCCCCTCAATGATGCCTCTTGACAGAATGACTCTTTCTGTACCCACACAAATGGAGACAGAAGAGAGGAAAAGCCCTGGGGATTGCAGCCAGTGCAGGTCTCAAACTGATCTGCTGCTAAGCACAACCTGAACTTCTCTGCCTGTCTTCACTTGGCTGAGTTCCTCTCTTGGCTCAGGGTTAGTGATCTTGCATGGCATACGACGCTTAGGACCCAGGGGGCGCCTTTCAGCTGAAAAACACCTCGCTGCAGCAAGCTAGCTGGGAAGCTCCCAGTTCTAAAGAGAGGCTGTTTACCAGAAGAGCATAACAAGGGCAGGTCTGACTGCAAGGCTGGGACCGGGAGGCAGAGCTGCTGACAAGGGGACCCGGGTTGGACACTAATTGGCCAGTCACCTGCAAGACCAAGGAGGTGAGGATGCTGTTGGCCTGGGTGCAAACATTCTTCATCAGCAACATGCTCCTAGCAAAAGCCTATGGATCTGGAGGTGAGATTACAATCTTTCCTTTCTGCAGCAACTTAATGAAGCAGAAAGGGTAGAGCTCCCTATTTCCCAAGCATGGCCAGGCTAGTCAGGAAGATGACAGGAAGTGAAGCTCTTAACCAGTTTCTGTTGTCCTATGAAAGCTTTGTTTTTTCTTTCTCCTTTCCCTGCCATGGGCTTGCAGCTCCATCTTTGCCCTTAAAAACAAAGGCAAGTAGCCACTTGCTCTTTCCTTTCCCTTGCCCGTGCCTCATGAGTGGATGGAACTTGGGGGTTCACCTCCCCTACTCCTTAAGTCCTGGTTTTTTCAGAGGCTTTGCTTGGTGTGGCCAGAGCACAGGCCCTCCTTCCCCAGCCGCTTCCTGTGGTTCTCCTGCTGAGGGGAGTGGGAGTTTGGAGTCACATCCAGACAGCGGTGAGGCAGGTTCCCTCCGTTTGAGGCTCTGTTTTGCTTGACTGAATCAAGGCTTTTGTAGAATTGCCTTGGGAGGGAGTGTCGCCTGTGGAAGTGTGGCCATATCCGCGCAGAAGGGAACCCCAGAGTTTATGTAACATGGAATTACTACACAGGGATGAATTTCAGTTCTGGCCGCCCACCGACCCAAAACTCCCACCATCTCCACAAAGGGACCCGAACTCAGCCCTCTCCCGCACCTTCCTCCAAAGTGGCCACAAGTTCCAGAGTAACAACCCCTTGCAATTGTGCAGTACTTTCCGGTTTACAAAAAATAAAAAAGCTAATATTCTCTGAGCGCTGACTGATGGCCAGGCACCAGTGGCTGTTTTCTCTTCCTTCTCTTTCGAGCCTCACAACAACCCGAGGCAGGCGGGGTTTTCCACGAGAGGACAGGGAGGCCCAGTAGGGCCCCGGGTCCCCCAACCCGGCAGGGGCACGGCCAGGTGGGCCCGGGCGACCCTGCCGGCCACTCAGACTGCCACTCAGTCTTCCTCACAGGCTGCTTCTGGGACAACGGCCACCTGTACCGGGCGGACCAGCCCTCCCCGGCACCGGGCCTCCGCTGCCTTAACTGGCTGGACGCGCAGAGCGGCCTGGCGTTGGTCCCTGAGTCGGGTGAGTGTCTGCCCCTGGCGGCGGGCGGGCGGCGGCCGCGGTCCCGGCCCCGACCCCGGCCCCGGCCCAAGCCCACGGTGCCTTCTCTCCTCTCCAGGCGCCGGCAACCACAGCTACTGCCGGAACCCGGACCAGGACCCGCGCGGGCCCTGGTGCTACGTCAGCGGCGAGGCCAGCGCTCCTGAGAAGCGGCCTTGCGAGGACCTGCGCTGCCCAGGTATGGGCTCGGGACCCCCGGGACCCCCACGCTCAGGGGTGCCTGGGAGTGGCCATTACACCCGCTGCGCACGTGCGTCCGCGCGACGCTGGCCTGCCCCGCCCCGCCCCCACGCCGTGTGATTGGCCAAGGCTGTCTCCAGGCCGTGGGGCCCAAAGCCCATTGGCCGCCGCCGCCGCTCGGAGTGAGCTCATCCTCCCCGAGCGCCTTGTAAACAATCGCGGGAGGCCAGGCCCCGCCCCTCGGCCGCGCGCTCCCCGCTCAGCGCGCTGCCTCCGGGAGCCCCGGGGACACGCATCCCCAGCCCCAGGCCGTTGGCGAGCCCATCAGCGTTTACTCACCGTTTGTGGAGATCTGCCGTGTGCTAGGTGCTCTGCTCACAGCCTCTCTGGGAAGAACCTGTTTGGGGGATCTGAGCCTCAGAGAAGTTCAGCGATTTACCAAACACAATGGCAGGGTCCAGATTTGAATTCAAGTTTCTTAGACGCCAGAGCGCAGGCTTGTTGCTCCCGAGGCAGCAAGACAATTCTTTAGGATTAAATGGGATATGTAAAGCATATAACATAGGGATTGGCATAAAGCGTGGGCTCAGTAGATGTGAGCTGCTCAGAGGAGTCGTGGATTGTCTTCCTGGCGTAGAGGAGGACCCGTGGAGAAGAAGGCCACTGAGGTGGGCCTTGGAAAATGGCAAGGATTTGGACAGATGAAGACGTGGGAGGCGGGAGAGGCCCTTTCTTATGGTCTTGTCTTCACATTTGCTTTGTCCTAGCAATGGTGCAGCCCTCTCAGGTCTGGTCTTACCCCTGGGCCAGGGTTTGATTTCAGTGTGTGTGGGGGCGTTCCAAGGTGGACCTCCTTCATCTTCCCCAACACCAGGGCCAGGTTCAGCTGTGGAATTCACTCAGGCCACTCGCTGATGAGAGCTATTTCCCACCTCACCTCCAGAAACCACTTCACAGGCCTCCACAGCAGAAACGGAGGAGGCATCTGAAGTGCCAGGCGAAGATGAGATGCAGGTATTCGCACCTGCTAATGCCCTCCCTGCCCGGAGCGAGGCAGCAGCTGTGCAGCCAGTGATTGGGATCAGCCAGCGGGTGCGGGCAAACTCAAAGGAGAAAAAGGACCTAGGAACCTTGGGTATGACTGCCCCACTCCTTGTCCTTGTGGGATTCATCAAGAGATGTCATTTACTAATTGTCTGGGGTGAGACTAATGGGACCTGTGTCCTGTCCTTGGCAGGCTATGTGCTGGGCGTTACCATGATGGTGATTATCATCGCCATCGGAGCTGGCATCGTCTTGGGCTACACCTACAAGAGGTCAGTAGCTTCTCTTCTGGGCTCTCTTGAGAGGAGGAGAGGCAGGTACACAAAGTCAAATCAGACTCCTTTGTGGCATTCTTACCCAAAAAAAGGAAGTGAGGTGTTGAAAGAGAGAAACCAGCTCAAGATGTAGCGACTTGGTTTCTAGTCTTTACTAGGTGACCTTGGACACACCCTTTCCTTTGGTGCCTTTATTCCTAACCCAAAAGCCTTGTGAGGTAGGGGTTCTTGTTCCCCATTTTATGAACGAGGAAGCCTTTGTCAGAGAGGTGAAGTGATTTGCCCAAGGTCACACTGCCTGGGAGTGACAGAACCTGGATTCAAACCCAGCTCTTTTGAAACCAAATTCCCTGCTGTCTAATCCAGCGTGCCTTGCATGGAAGTGAGTGGCACTGCAGAAATCAGGCTGGGCACTCCTTGCAGGGACCCAGAGACTGAATCCTTTCTGTGAGTTATAAAATTCTGCTACTAGAAAAGGTAACCAGCCACTGTTTTTGCAGTTGGGGTTTGAATTTCCTGAGCCATAGACAATGGGATCTCCTCTAGAACAGGAGGCAAAAAGTGAGTTGGAGGAGAGCCTGTTTGCCGCGTATGAGAAAGCCAAAGAGGCTACCTGGGAAACTCAGGGACATGACCTGTGGTTGGGATAGCAGGAGGAGGAATACTTATTTTGAGAGGTCCTCTGGGATACTGTGTGGAAAAGGTTCTCAAAGTCAGTGATGGGTGCATGACGATAAGCCAGAGTCGCATTCGTTTTTATAGCACTGGCTGACTCTGGGAAAATTATTTGCTTTCTTGGGCAAAATCAGAGGATTTGACTTCCAGCCTTGAGTGTCTGTGATATTTCTTTTCTGTGGTCTGAGAAGGCTCCCTGTAAAAGAAGTGACATAGTGGCCTGCATTTTCCAGTGGTGAGGGCCGTGTCTGAGCCCACATCCCCAGTGGAACACCCAGCATAAAATAAACCTAGGGTGTCCTTACAGGTGATGTAGTCAACCTCCTCATTTTACAGATGAGAAAGGGAAAGTGTCGGGTAAGAATAATAATAACAGCATCAGCAAACATTTACCACATGCCAGACACTGCTTCAAGCAATTTGCGTGCTTTAACTCAATTCTCACAATCACTCTTATGAGGTAAATGCTGTTATTATCTCCAGTTTACAGATTAGGAAACTGAGGCAGGAGAGGACATGTGCCTTGCCTGAGGCCACATACCTAGCATGTGGTGGAGCCAAGTCTTAACCCTGCTACTAACTAGCTATCTGTGTGACTTTGGGCAAGTTGCTTCTATTTCCTATTCCAAACCATTGCTGTAACTAAGGCATGTGACTGCGTCGCTCAGTGTGTAGCACATGGTAGGTGGTCAGTAAACAATAGCTGTTTTTCTTTTCTATAAAATGTGGGTACTGTACTAGTGCTCTCCAAACTCTGTTTCTTCTGTGATTTTCTATGATTCAGAAGGCAGAGGTTCAGAGAGGGGAAGTATTGACCTGAGAGAGTCTCCCGGTTCCCAGTCCGAGGTTGTTGCCCCCAGTGGGATAGTTGTCATGGCAGGTCCAGGGACCACTGCTTGTTCATTTCAGAGAGTTAGAGGAAATGATGTTGTGGCCCTGGCCTACAATTCATAGTCAGAACCAAACCGTGTTAGCTGAGTTTAGCCCTTGAAATATTTCTTCCTTCCTCAGCCACTGGATAGCAGTTGGCTGTCCTCCAATCTTGTGACAGTTTCCAGGCCTCCAGGTGCTTGAACTGACTAAATGTTAATTCTGAGCTCAGCTCTCATGCCCAAGGAGGAAGCCAGGCCTTTTTCTTCTAGATTTGCTACTCTAGGCTGTCACGGGACTGCCCTGAGGACTAGAAACGTTCCTGTAAATTCAGGGCATGGCACCAAGTCACCAGACTCCCCATCACTAACCACCAGACCACCCCTTTCCTTAGCAAAAGTGCTCTGAGAACAGACTGCACAACAGGAAACCGCATGTAGGCTAGAGGCAAGCTCTCAGCTCTCATCTCTCCCCAGAGTCAGAGAACAGTGTCTTAGAAAGAACTGTTGAGTGTAGGTTCTGCCACTCCTCAGAATCTTGGTTTGTTGTCTGTTAAATGGGGATATATCTCCCCTCCACACACATCCATACCGACCCCACACCGACCCACCCAAGATTATCATAAGTATTAAATGTAAACAGTAGAACACCAATCAGGTTAAATAATCACAAGAGCAGCAAACATTTATTGCGTACTTTTTTATTTTTTATTTTATAATTTTTATTTTTTCCCCCAAAGCCCCAGTAGATAGTTGTATGTCATAGTTGCACATCCTTCTAGTTGCTGTATGTGGGACGCGGCCTCAGCATGGCCTCTTGGAGAAGCGGCACGTCGGTGTGCACCCGGGATCCGAACCCGGGCTGCCAGCAGCAGAGTGCGCGCACTTAACTGCTAAGCCACCGGGCCGGCCCTATTGCATGCTTTTTTAATAAGTAAGGCCCAGGCCGGCCCGGTGGCGCAAGCGGTTAAGTGCATGTGCTTGGCTGTGGTGGCACGGGGTTCGCTGGTTCGGATCCCAGGCACGCACTGACGCACTGCTTGGCAAGCCATGCTGTGGCGGCGTCCCATATAAAGTAGAGGAAGATGGGCATGGATGTTAGCTCAGGGCCAGTCTTCTTCAGCAAAAAAAGAGGAGGATTGGCAGATGTTAGCACAGGGCTGATCTCCTCACAAAAAAAAAAAAATAAGTAAGGCCCTACTGAATGCTCTTCCCTGATGATCTTGCCCAAGCCTCATGACCACACTAGAAGGAGCACTTTGACACCATTTTACAGTGAGGAGCTGAGACCTAGAGGAGTTAAGTGCCATCTCCAGGCTACACAGCTAATAAGGTGTGTCTAAGGATTATCAGTATCTCCCAAAAGTCCAGCAAGGCCTGGTAGCTTCATGCAAGTTTGCTTTGAATTGCAAAGGATAGTAGGAAAAATAGAACCTTTCAAAAAAATGGCTGGCTTTGGAAGTCAAAAGAACCAGGATCTAGTTTTGGAACTGCCACCAATTCTGGGTGCAACACTGGACAAATCATTTACTTTGTCTGTTTTCTTTATCTGTAAAATAGTGTAAAGGCAAGGACGTAGATGTGATGATCCTCCTAGCTCTAATATTTCCTACAGACAGTATTGCCTGCTGGGGGCTGCAGGTACTACTGGGTTCAAATCCCGGCTCTGCCATTTGCTTGAACGAATGATTTAACCTCTCTGCATCTGCCTTCCTGTCTCTGAAACAGAGATCCTAATAGATACCATATAGGTTTTTTGTAAGGATGAAATTAGACAGTGTAGTTTGGGCATACAGGTGGTGTTCATAACCCTAGCGGCCTTGAGGAACTTTTCCTGAGCAGTAGTGTGGCACAGCACTGCTTCTGATTGGGAAAATAGCAGGGGCTCAGAGTTATATAATAATTTGAAGAAACCTGTGTTGCCTGAAGGAGGTCTGTGGTGGCTCCATCACCCCCCGAAGAGGATGTCAGAGGCGGCCAGCAGCTCCATCCACACCTGCTCTCTCTGGCCAGCCCAGCTTCCTATCCTGGCCCTGGAGCAGCCAGCCAGGGATAGAATTACTGCAAACCTTAAACTTAGCCGGAGGCCATGAGGCTAATGGGATGGAGCTTTCCCCTGGCTGGGAAGGGCAGGCAGGCACCAGGCTTCCTCTCAGGGGAAGAAGGGCGGCAGGTGGGGGTGGGTGAGGGCTAAGCCTGGCGGGTCTTTGTCCTGGTTGTCTAGGCCACGAGGTTCACACGGCCAGTCTGTGACTAAGCAGCTCCCTGTCCCTGCCCCTAGCACAATGTCTGCGCTAGCTCCTGAGGGAGTGCCTATTTTCTGATAAAAAGGCAAAGGAAAAACTGTAAGTCAACACCACTCCACCCCCTTAGGAGAGGAGCTGAGTCAGTGAATAAGCCTTTTGTTCTTTCTTGGCTGCCAGACAACCGCCCCGCTGCCCCCCCCCCCCCCCCCCCCCCCCCCCCCCGCCAAGGCAGTGAGAAGGGGCTGAACTGCCCGCTGGTCAGTGCAGCAGGCCTGGTGGCCTCTCTCAGGTCTTGGAGGGAGCTGGAGGCAGCCGCTGCATCTCTGGGACTCGTAGGCACCATTAACAGGAGGCACGTCCGGTTGGGTGTATCTTGAGGCTTCTAAATGGATGACACTGTAATCCAGATGAGTCCCAGCACCTGCTTCCTTTACCCTTGGCTGCTCTTCTAGCCCTGCTCTACTCCATTAATAGAAATTGATTTTTTTCCCCCTAAAGACTTGTGTATGATGCAGCCTGACCATTATCAACAACTGAGCTGGCCACAGCCAGATGCCTGGTAAAGGAGGTAGCGGAGGAGAACAGGGCTTTGGGGTCAGACTCCAAAGCCTCAGTTTCTTCATCTATTAAATGGGGATGACATTAGCTTGCAAATTTGATGTGGAAATTAAATGAAGATGGTACATGTATAAAGTGCATGGCATCCAGTAGGTGCATAATTAGCTCTTCTCATCCTGGGTAATGAGAAGGCCATTTCCTGGCAGCTTAGTAGGTACTCAGGAAGTATGAGTTCCTGCTTTCCCTGTTCCTCCAGCCCCTTGGCAGAAGATACTTGCATACCCCTCATCTTTTGTCAATTGCATTTTGGTCTTCTGCTGGCTTGGGGGCTCCTTAATAAAATTAAACCTAGACCGTCCAAGTTTCTCTACATGGGCAACCTTGAAGAATCTGGCTTTTTGTTTTATTATGGAGGTAGGTGTTTCCTTCCATGTGGCAGCAGCTGTAACTGATGAGCAGTGCCCAAGGGTAAAGTGCATCTCAGGCTGAGTGGTGATGCACTTGGTCCAGATGACCCTCTTCCCATGTCCCTCCATTTTCCCTCTGGGTGCTCTGGGAGTTATTCTGCTGTGGGAGTTGGTGGTGTCCAGTACAGAGGCTAAGGAGAAGGATGGGGCAAAAGCCTCAGGCTTGCACATTCAGAAACTCAGTCACCCAAGGTGACTCAGGGAGATGACCTCATGACTTTGCCCTCTGTGACCTTACAGTGAGAAATAGGGATCAGAGCACATCTCATTTGAGGGATCTTACAGAATGTCAGGGGCCCTGGAGATTATCAAGTTCAACTCCTTGTTTTACAGATGATGAAATTAAGGCCTAGAGAAGAGGGGAGTTGCTGAGGTCACATCAATAATACTTGCCTTGGCTGGTCAGTAACAAGAGTTTTCTTGGGAAACCAAATTAGGATAACATTGCTTGGTGAGTCAAGTCATATTCAGGGCAAATCATAATAACCACTTATGAGTTTTACAGCAGTTTCACTGTTTTCAGAATGCTTTCACATTCATTATCTTATTTTGAGGCAGATATTATCCCCATTTCACAGATGAGGAAACCAAGGCTCAGTGAGGCTGTTTTTCCACGTGTCACACAGCTAAGGCAGAGGTGGTAGTAGAACACAAGAAAACTGGTTGATTTAAAGACAGTTCTGAGGCACCCGTGCAAACTCCTCCCCCTCCAGCCCCTGCTGTTTTCTCAATATTCTCATCTCTGGAAACTTTGGTCGTTGTACCTCACATCATGATGGATGTGTAATCTGTCTGATCCCAGCCATCTCCCTGAGGAGCTCTGAAGTAGGCCTATGTTGTTTTAGCAAGTCATCCTTCAGCTGCCTGCTTCAAGGCCTCTTTGGGGTGGGCTTCTTCCAGGAAGATTTCCTCCAACAGGTGAGCCCATGTGTCTAGCTGCTGGCTTCTGAGGATGCTGACCTGGGTCCTGGGTGCTGGTTCCGGTGTGCAGTGTGCTGGGCACTCACCAAACCCTCTGGCTTGCAATTGGGATGGCCTGGTGCAGTGGGAAGGGATCTACATATGCAGCCAGAAGACTGGGTTTGAGTCCTTGCCCCACGATTTCTTTGGGGTGAGCCTGATCAGATCCAAACTTCTCTTGAGTAGCAGCCAGAGTCCAGCAGACCTGGGTTTGAGCCTACCATGTCGTTGGAGAGTTCCTTAACTTCCTGGGCTATTTCCTCATCTATGAAATGAATGATAAGACCTAATTCTTAGGGTTCAGCCAAAAATGAAGTGAGCTAACATACATAAAGTTTTTAGCATGGAGTGAGTGCTCCACGTGAGTAAAATGGGGCAACACCATGGCCTGACTGGGTCACTGAGCACCATTAGAATTCAAAGGCTTGTGAAAATTCTGAGGGGTCTGACACTCATTGTCTCGTTGTTTCCCATTGACCTGAGCAGCCCTGAGTCCTTTTTGCCCCCTGCATGGGGTGGGGATGGTCCCTGTTTCCAGTCGGGGCTCATACCTCCTGGGACTTTAGGATAAGATGACTGTCTCAGAACAGGATGGTCAGGCCAGTTTTCTGGACTTTACGGGTTAGGGCCAGGATAGTTCTCTGGGTCTCTTGGAGCCCTGGGCTGAAAGAACAAAACTATATCTTGCTTTAAGAGTCTCTTTCCTCTACACTATCTTCATTGAGCCCCACTGCAGCTGTGTGAGGTTCACGCTACTATCATCCCCATTTTACAGATGAGGAAGCAGAGACCAGAGGTGTGGGGGCTCCTTGTGGAGTTAAGGCAGTCTGGCAGAATAGAAATCTAGTACATAAGCCACTGATTTCTTGTGGCCATGGCTTGCCCCTGCTCGGGCCTCAGAGGTGCTATCTAATGAGTAAAGCCACACAGGAAGCACTGCCTAAACACTTCCCTCTTTTCCTGCCAGGGGGAAGGACCTGAAAGAGCAGCATGAACAGAAGGTGTGTGAGAGAGAGATGCAGCGCATCACCCTGCCCCTGTCTGCCTTCACCAACCCCACCTGTGAGATTGTGGATGAGAAGACCATTGTGGTCCACACCAACCAGACTCCAGTTGACCTTCAGGAGGGCAGTGCCCCCCTCATGGGCCGGGCAGGTACTCCTGGGGCCTGAGCCCCCACAGTGGGCAGAAGCCCATGCAGACACTGGTGCAGGATGGCCTAACCTCCTACAGCTGGGAGGATCTACACTTTTTGTTGTGGTTAAAACCCGCCCCTCACTTTTTTTTTGGTGAATCTTAAGACAAGCAGGTAGCACTGTGGGCTGAGGGCGAAGCTGGGTAGGGTCCTGCCAATCCTCCTTCTCGATCCCTTGGAGCAGGATATCGCCTAAATGGATGGAGACAGTGGCAGCCCCCACAGCAGTGCTGCTGACAAGGGTTTCCAAACATTGCCTGTGCCCTGGAACTGAACCAGGGACGGACAGGGAGCTCCCCCAGGCTCCTCTGTGCTTTATTATGCAAGATGGCCTCAGTCTCTCTCTCTCTGTTTGTTCTCTGTGGGCACACACTGTTATTCATAGTTCAGGTCAAGAGGCAGCATTTAAAAAATATATTTAGTTTTTAAAATATTTGGGATGGAACTCCCTACTGACCTCTGAGAACCGGAAATAAGTTCGTACAAAAGTCAAAACTGTGGGTTGAGAACGGGATCTAGGCTGGGGGCTGCTGGGTGTGCTCCAGCTTGCTGGCAGTGATGTGCCTTGACAACCGTGGGCCGGGCCCGGGCCCGGGCCCAAGGACTCTTCCTGTTTTGAAAGGAAGGGAAGGGAAGAATTGCACTGAACATTCCACTTAGGAAGAGGGCAGAGAAGGATCCGTGACTGCCTTAGGCCACAGGACCTGAGGTGGACCTGGGGTTCCCCAGTCTGTCTCTCCTCAGGGTGGACAGTGACCTCTTCATTTTGTAGGGGTAAGGGTAAGACAACAGCCAGCTAACTGTGGGAATGACACTGTGGGGCCTTGTGAGCTACTTCTGCGAGGCTGACCTGGAAACTAAGCTCAGAGGCAAGGTAATCAAGTCCTTCAGGCTTGCCTCTGCAGTGGTGTGAGTTTGCAGGTGGCCCTGTGTCCTCCAGGCTAGCACCTTCCTGTGGGGCTAGGGTCACAACCTCTAACTTGTAAAACAATCATAGAACCATTAGAAGGGACCTTAGGGTTCCTCAAGCCTTTTGGACAAAGGGGCCCAGAGGGAGAAAAGGATGCCCAGTCAGAGCAAGGTACCAGCGTGGCCAAGAGGAACATTCTCCACAGCACTGTGCTGTACTGTGCCAGCGGCTCAGCAGGGCCTCCAAGCCCTGATGTCACACTTGGAAGCCTCAGCAGTTCTCCTTATCCACAGAGCTTCCTTCCTAAAGCCCTTCCACTGCCCCATGTGGAGACGGGGGTTAGTAGGGCCCATTCTCTTCAGCAGGCTGTTCCCAGGAGTAGTCTGCTGAGGGGACCTAGGCCTCAGGGGGTCCCTTGGTGTTAGTGATGCTGAAGAAGAGAATATTACTGGTTTCTACTTTTTTATGAAAGCATTTCTCTGTATACATGTTTTATATACCTCATTTTGACACCTGCATATGAAGTGCAGGAAATTACTCTGCCACTTGATTTATATAAATGAATTGTAAAAAAAAAAAAAGACTCCATATTGCCAAGTTTTTGTGGGGTACTAGGACACTTCTCTTGTAAGTTGGGGAGTTTTTAGTTACCTTGTCAACACCTGTGTGGCGAGCTCTGGCTTTCCCTCATTTACCCTGGCCCTGTAACTGGGAGGTGGCAACAGTTGAATGGTTGCTAACGGCAGACTCTATGTGTTCTGTCGTCATCACCAGCAATCTTCCAGGTTGAAGTTGCAGGAAAGATGCGTGTGTGGGCCTCCCAAACGGCAGTTGGTCACTGCAAATCCTCTCCCCCTCAGCATTCTTTCTGAGCTGGAGATAGATAGATAGTTAAAATGAACATCCAGGCAGCCCTTGGCAGGGGCTGGAATTGGGTGGGGGGTGGTGGTGCTACAGCAGCCAATGGAGGGATGGGTGTGCAGAGGGGGATGGGTCCTTGGGCTGCCTGGAGCAGCTCTGGGCTGAGGAAGGTTCCTGTGGGGGTGACTCCCAGGTCTACCAACGGGAGCGTTTGTTGGATTTTTACCAGGGGATTTCAGCAACAGGTTCTCAGCCTCTAGGAATACCCAGAGTGACCTCTGCCTATGTCCAGACATTGCTTTATAGTTCTACAAGCAAGGGGCATCCTAGAGCATCGGTTTTCCAGGAACCAGATTCTGGGCTTAAGTTGGACTCCTCAAGCTTTGGGAGAAACCACTTTTGGGTATACAGATTTATATTGTGCCCAGAATTCCACCAGCTAGATAGCATCATCGTGCCCAGTGGTCATCCCTCCACAATACCCTCCATGTACAGAAGCACGAAGAAACAGGTCTTCTACTCTCAAGCACTTGTAGGGAAACACAAGGGGTGGGGGTGATTTGCATTCATTTCTTCCCATTATGAAGGTGGACCCAGCCCTGTGGAGAGGACTCCAGGATATCCAGGCGATAGAAGTGTGTGTATATTACAGGGTGGGAGTGTAGGGCCCTGAAGGAATGACTTGGCCAGCGGGTGGGAGTCAGTCAGCCCTGCTCCAAGGACTGGGCTGCCTCACATGGGACGTGCATGTTCTCTGGAGCAGGTTGGTGTCTACATAAGGAGAGGGGATTAGAGCTGGGGAGCATAAGAACTCCCTGCTGTGGGGAGTCGTGTGGCCTGGGCTTGAAAGTGGCCAGTAGTGTGCCTCTAGAAAGGAGCAGGGGAGGCCTTGCATTTCCTGGCAGACAGGCCAGCAGAACCTCCACATGCATCTCCCTGAGCCAGGGCCCAAGTCACTTTTTCACTCTCAGTATCGTCAGTTAAGTTAACTGCTTAATTTATTTGGTCTGCTCAATAGCCCAGCTTGGGCCCACCACTCCCACACTTGCTGGGGACAGCCAAGGCACAACCAGCCACACAATGCTGACCTTGCTGCTGCTGTGAGTCCAGGGCTCAACGCTATTTACAAGCCTGCATACTCCACACCTAAGTATGGTCTATACAGCAAGTAAACTGGCCAGAGATGACATCTTATCCCACAACTCATCAGGTCTATGTACAGTATTTCACATATCACCCAATAGGTGTAACAATAAGATAGTATTAACAGCAACCACTCTCCTGAATCACTCCCCCTGCCCCGCCTCCCCCCTCCAAACAACCACCACACATTGTAGTAATATCCCAAGCCCATTTCCCATTTGTTAAATATGGTGCAACCTCACAGACACTTAGGAGGAGGCAAATCTATTTGTGTTGAACAGTCCCTAGAGCTCTGGAAGCCAAGGTGGAGGGTGCCGCTGGGGCTTTTCAGCGCCCATGGCTGTGGCTCAGGAGGTGGTAGCCAGGAGCTAGTGAGCTGGACCGGCCAACAAGGGAGGTAGAAGCCAGGGAGCTGTCTCCCCCAGCATCTCAGCTCTAGGACTCTGCCACGACCTCCTCCTGCCCAAGTTGCTGCCTGGACAAAGCATGGTAAAGGGTGAACAGTGGCTGCCACAAGGACAAGGACAAGAGATTGCCGAGATTCCCACTCCCCCGCCTCATACACCGGGGCCTGTGACAAGCCATACCGTCCTCCAGAACCTACCTAGCTCTAGGCAAAATGTCTTGGGCTTCTGACTGAGGTGCCCACTGGTCAGAGTGACAGCAGCCAGGATACGGGCTCTCTAGAGGTCAAGGCCCTCTTTCTTTCTAGCCCCCATTCCTGTACTTGTAGGTGACTGCTTGTTGCAGGCACAAAGGGAGACCCAGAAGTTCTCAGCCAGTCTCCAGCAGTACAGTTTGAGAACATGAGGTGGAAGCTCCTCCTCACATTGATGTAGCCCCTTGGCCTGGGAGGTGAACAGAAACCAGCCCTTCCCCTGACTCCTGGCCATTTCCACCACAAACTGACTAAGAGACTCTTCAAAACCTACTCCCTCAACCCCTGCCCCAAGGGAAGGCAGGACTTGGAGCGGAAGGGGGGTAGCACCACTGTCATTTCACATCCTTGGAGTGCCGCCTGGGCACCAGTCTCTCTCGTCCACATTCTCACTTGAAGTCCTCCTGTACTCAGCTGGACCAGAAACTTCAGAGCCCCAGGCAGGTTCACCCTGGGATCCTGCCCAGCAGGTCCAGGTCACGCTGATTAGTGTAAGCAAGAGTGTCCCGGAATCCCACTGCCAGGGAGTTCCCGAGTGGTCACGAGTAACAGATTCCTCCTGGCCCAAACAGGGGCCAGGCTTTTTTCTCTTCTTCACAGCTTTCAGGCGAGTGTTGGATTTACAGACAGTAACCAGGCCCCAAACCTGTAGAGATGTGTTTCCCTGGTGCTGCACCCGCTCGCCTCCTGGGGAGGTAGTAGGGATGGCTTGTTCTGCTTCTAAACAAGCCGCCAATCCACAGGAAGCCCGGACGGCCCTGCCCACAGCAGGAATGGGGCGCAGAGGGGGCAATGCTGGCTGTGGAACGCCCCCCCGCAGGGGGCTGGGCTGGGGTTAGGGGGGCGAGTCTCGGGTCAGGCCGTACTGCATGCTCACAGTGTGGTCCAGCTCCTCCAGCTCTGCAGGCAGCGGGATGCCCAGCTCCCCCAGGTACAGAGAGAGGGCCTCAAAGGAGTCCTCCAGTTTTGAGAATGCCGGTCTAGAAAGAAAAAGGTTGAGTTGGAGGCAGGTGAGATATGAGCAGGGCCATGGGGTGGCGTGAAAAGCACGTAGGCCTGCTGCTCAACCACTTCCTAGTTCTATGGCCTCGGACAACCTCCTTAACCTTGTTGTGCCTTTGTGGGAAATGGGGATAATATAATGTTACTGCTACGGCATAGGGCTGCTGTACAGAATAGAGATAACACTGTGAGAAGGCTGGCCTGGCTCTAGGGGGTAGCTTAAAAAAAGAAAGTCCAGGAGAAAAAAAGCCCCTCCCATGTCTTGGAGAAAATGCAATCATCAAAGGTGGGATTGGACTAAGTGCCTTTTTTAAAGATCCTTTCCCGTCCTGAGACTGTTTCCACATCAATGGATCTGCCCAGGATCAATGGATCTTTCATAGACTCAGCAGGCTCTTCCCAAGGAGAAAGCAAACACTGGGCTCTCTCTGCTATGGAAATAGCTCAGCTGCCCTGGAATCCTAAAACATCTCAGGCTTACTCCTCCACCTCCTCCATGTTTTTGCTTAAATATCTTGCCACCTTCTCAGTGAGGCCTACTCTGACCACCATATTTAAAATTGCAACTTGCTCCCTAAACAATCCTCTTTACTCAGCTTGACTCTTTTTTCCATAGCAAACTTGTCACTCTCTAATATTCAATATAGTTTATTATATGTAGTGTTGATTATCTCTATTCCTTAAAATGAGTTCCAGGAGGGCGGGTACCTTCATTTTGTTCACTGCTGTACCCTAAGTACTCAGAACAGTATCTAGCACCATGGCAGGCACTCATTAAATATTTTTTGAATGAATTAAAGACAGACATTTTAGAGTGACTGAGAATGAATAT